TAATTTATAAATTCGAAGGCACTTATACTAAAATAGCAAAAAAGCAATAGATAAACTTTATATAAATTATATTTTATAAATTCGAAGGCACTTATACTAAAATAGCAAAAACGCAATAGATAAACTTTATATAAATTATAATTTATAAATTCGAAGGCACTTATACTAAAATAGCAAAAAAGCAAAAGATAAACTTTATATAAATTATATTTTATAAATTCGAAGGCACTTATACTAAAATAGCAAAAAAGCAATAGATAAATTTCATATAAATTATAATTTATAAAGTTCGAAAGCAGTGATATTAAAATGGGAACAAAACAAAAGATAGTTTACCTGTAGGGTGACTGTGTGTGGGTCTACGACCTGGATGTTGCTATCGGTGTGACCTTCTATGTCTGTTGTTTTCCTTCTACACACAGATCCACCAGAGCATCCGCACTCACAGATCCATCTCCGCCTAAAAGCGACACGCTCACCGACACCGGCAGCTCAGGCACAGCCGGTCCAAGGTGCTCTGCAGGTGAGCATTCGAATGAGCAGGAGTAGAGGGTGAAAAAAAGGATGTGGGTGTTGGTGTGGGTGGGTGTGGATGTGGATGTGGAGCGTGGGTGTGGGTGTTCTTCTTCTAATCCATACCCACGCACCCACACCCAACTACAACAACAATGTCAGCCCTCCCTGTTGCTGTCAGCAGCAGCGCAACATTTTGTGGTTGTTCTGGTTTTAGTTTGTCCTTGACCAATATCTCGTTCAGTGCAACTAATGTTAGCTATCAATGGCAATCTTCGTCCACTGGCCAAAACATTTGGTCTAACATCACTGCACGTCATGCAACTTCGTCACTGTCAGTAACAAATCAAACAAATTCAACCGATTATAGATGCCAAATCTACATTCGGGCTCCAACAATCATGAACTTGATATCGACGGTCGTAACGGTCACTAATGCCTATTGTGCACCACGTGCGGTCAATTGTAGTGTGGGAGATGTCATAGACGATTTTGTAATGAGAGGAGAAAGTAACACGCAACTTTATAACTTGTCATCTGGTTGCGCAGCAAATAGCTACGATGATGAAACTCAACAATCAGTCAGCTTATTGACGAGCAAGAGCTATACTGCTTGGGTATCAAGCCTATATTCCACAGGTGACGATTTATCAATATGGATTGATTTCAATAACAATTGTATTTTTGAGACATCTGAAATCGTTGTAAACCAAGTCTCAATTGGGACGTCTTATACAGCAGTTACTCTGACCATTCCTACGATCGGTACCGGAGCTACAACGGGTGTTCATCGAATGAGAGCGACATTAGCTTATGGGTCGCCTAATTCATGTAGCGCATCTAATACGTACGGCGAGACACATGATTATACAGTGAATATTTTAACATGTAAGTTATACTATCTCTAACAAAAAGATATCGAAAAAAATTCGCAGATCAGACATAACGGTTTTGTTTCTCTTTTGTTAGCGATACGTTGTTAAACACTCACACAGATAATCTTCATTATTTGAACACGAGAATTATTGTCAATAATAACTGAAATGTCAGAGATTTGACAACACTTATTGTAACAGATGGAAAGTACCCTTTATCCCGTAATTTAGCAGAATGTCACGGATGCCAAACATTTAAATCTAGCTTCACATTTGTTTGAATTCGCTGGTTAGTTTTCATGAAAACGCTAGTTTGAATGCCAAGGATCATTCTGCATTTGAAGAAAGACAGTACAAAGTTTTTTGTTCATCCAATTAAGTAAATATTTCGAACGCATATGAATTTTTATTGATAGTGCGAGAATACTATTTAGATGGCTTAGCAGCCCATTTTTTTAATGAAATTGCCGAACAATATAGCAGTTTCTCTTGTTTATTTTGGGCTTTTGCCTATAGCTGAAAACTAACTTCAGCAAAAAAAGTCTCAATATGTTTTGCTCCTTCGAGTGTGAAAATCATACTTCGATGATGTTTCTCTCTGTGAGGGCGAAGCAATAAAAAACCAACAAGAATAATGATCTTTTAATTCTGGTTCTCAATGAATATTCATTCCTATTTACACTTAGCAACAACGTCGACACCTCTCTGCACACCAGTCGACGACGGTTATTCCAGTAGCCTTTTGACAACGTCTTCTCCCATAAGCTTATATACCTGCGAAGCATATTCATGGACGTCTAATAAAACGGGCATAGCTACTTTGGCCTTTCAATTTCGTAATGATCCCGACTATTGGTACGTTGATGATGTGTCAGTTTCCAATGGCAGTGCTAATATTCTGATTAATGGAGGCTTTGAATCAGGTTCATTTTCATTCGGCTGGACAGTATCTTTACCAAACGGAAATTGTACAAGGTCAGGAGCTACTGTAAGTATACTTTTACCAAACACTGGTAGCTATAGCCTTCGAGATGGTTGCGTCGGGACTGCAAATCAAATTGCTCAAAGTTTTGCAGTCACAAAAGGACAAGTGTACGTTGTGAGGTTTTGGATACAAGCAGGTGGGAATGGATCAGGAATCACGGCTTCTGTGACATTGTCCTAAATCATACATTACTAAATATGACTGTCTTTTTTAAATAATATTAAGTGAATTTTATGAACAAAAAATGGAAAATCTAATTTTTATTATAAAATGTTGACTGTTTGTGTGCGATTCAACGAACATTTTTCTTGAAAATAAATAAAGTACCCATGATTCGAGGTTCTAATAGGCTGGACTCAAGTCAACTCTGCCTATCACATGCGCCAAAGTTTTTTTGAAAGAAAACCATGAGTTGAGATGGTTGAAAATCGGTAATCCCATGAGTTGACTTTCCTAGGCTCAGTCTATTAGAAGCTCTGCTCTAAATAACAACAATAAAATTAATGCCGATTCGAAAGAATCTTCAAGAAAGACAATTTTGTTCCTGAAACACGCTTGCATATGTGTCATACTGAAGTTGTCGAATTAATTATATAGCTGAACAATGTTTTGGATGAAAGAATGACCCATCATTACATATACTGCCTAACACCCTATCAGCCCTGACCCACATGTAATTGGAAATATTTTATCCTAGATTAAGCAATATTTTCAGAAAGGATATGGGTGTGGGGTGCAGGGTGTGGGTAGCAAGAAGAGTAACATTCACACCCACTCACACCTACACATTCACTGCCAAACTTACACCCACATATACACTCGCAAATGAACACACACTTAAACGTACATCCATATTCTTTTCTTCGTCATTTTTTTTTGCATTCTTCATGTGTATGGGCACACTTTTCTATCGAAAGAGAGCCTATTACTGACATACTATATGCTTCCACGTCTTTTTCAAACTTTTGTGTCTGTTCTTCATGCATTATCTTTTACATTTAGTTTTTTCTTCTTGGTTGCATTCTTTCAATACGTCACTTTGCTCATTTTTTTCGTCCGATCATGAGAGGGAAGACCGTGAGTGAAAAAGATAAGGTTGCTCACATCTACAAGGGTTTCTTTTCTTAATCGTTCGCCTTGTTATTGACAATCAATTCATAAAACATTTTCGTCAACTGTGTGTGCTATAGACATCAAAGAATTGCATGAACAGTAAAAACTAGGGCAAGAAGAGAATTTTTCACATCAAAATTGAATCTGAAGCATTCATGCAATTTTCACTAATTCTGTGAGAAAGAACAAGGGTACTGCAAAAGTCCAATAGCTTTACTCGAAGATTGTGATTGAAAGTTCCCGAATCATGTGCATAGCATGATATCCAACCATTTTATTAATGCAAAAAAAAAATAACAGTAGAATTCTTTTTTAAGAATAATGCACACATAAAATTAGGTAAACACTTTTGATCGTATTATTAATCTTGTCTCCAAAATGAGCTTATGGATCGATGAAGCTCAGTACATATGGATATAATAATGTCAACGCAGTTTCGATTATTATTTTAGCTGGAGTGTGGATGTAGGTGAGAAATAGAACACCTACGACCAAGCACACATCAAAACCCACACCCTCAATTTTTATTACATGTAAAGCAATGTGCGAAAAATGCACAATAATTAGTTTAAATGTTCATCACAATCTAGATCGTAATTTTTCTGTACTAATTCAAAGAGAACTTTTTCTTGAAATTCTATTTTTATCTGAAGTTTTATATCAAAAGATAACAGTTTTTCCACATAAAATATAAAAGAATTTTTATTTTCTTTTTATTAGTTATAAAATAATATTCATTATTGACTGAAATTAAAAAAAAAATCTCGATTGAATAATATAAACAAATATACAAGTGAATTTGGAAATAAAATCTCTAAAACAAAATATGATCATCGATTTTACTGAGGATAACTTTTTCTAGAATTGTTTTGCTTTTTATTATAAGTGTATTGTCGTGTTTGTTTTACTGATTGAGATTGATGTTGATCTGTTATTTGATTTTGTTTTACTAAACATTCATTTAGAAATTTTGTTGAATTAACATTTGGAACACTTTCAATCCATTGTTTCCATAAATCATTTGACATCAACGTACGTTTATTACCAAAAACAATCATTGCACATTTTGCTCGTGTTAATAAAACATTCATACGTTGTTCATTGATTAAAAATCCAATTTCATTTTCATTATTTGATCGAACTAAAGAAATAAGAATAATATTTTTTTCTCGTCCTTGAAATCCATCGACTGTTCGGATCTCAACACCTTTTGGAACTTGAATAGTTGTTAATTTGTCAACAATTTCTTTAACTTGTCGTGTATAAGGTGTTATAACACCAATGTCCATTCTATAATAAAATTAGAAATAAATAAAATGATGAGAAAAAATAATGTTTTACGGTAATAAATTTGGTTGTCGACGTGGTAATAATGTTTGAATTGTTTGACAAATTAATTCAACTTCTTGTTTATTATAAATATTCGATCCATGAATTGTTTCATAACTTTGATCAACATCAACAAACATTAATGGAATTTGTTGATTAATAAAATTAATTTCTTGTGGTGTTGGTCGTTGCTCAGGTTGAATACCAGTTTTTAATGAACCATCATAGAATACTTTTGATGGAAAATCAATTAATGATGGATGCATACGATATTGAGTATCTAACATAATTGAGTTTATATTTAGATTTTCTAAGAGACGTTGAAAAAATGATCGTTCTAATAATGGTTTTGCTTCAGCCATTTTTATAATAGGTGGTAACTAAAAATTTTGTGAAAAGACGAATATTAAGTTTTTTCGGGAGATGGCATATGAGCTATGAGAGTACTCGACTGAACATTTTCAATTGACTAATTGTTTTTGAATTTAGACTTTTTATGTAAGCTAGAGTCTAGTCAGATATGACTAACCTCCAAAGAATAAATCTCATTAGGCTTTTTATCGAGAACTATAAGCATGTCACTAGAATTTTAGTCTTTGAGTGTGGGTTTGACTCTTCTGTTAAATCACATCCTGTTGGTATTTACCATACTAGAGGCTTCAAGTCTAGTAATATACCTATAATTTGAACAGAAAATCTAAGAGAACTTATCCATTGATAGCTGTTTATTTCTTCCTATGCTCTACCTTATCCACAGAGTTCGAATTCAAAAGCAATATGTCAGTTAAACACGTGCCATTGTAAGAGCAATATCAAAATCTAAATCATCTAATAAAGTTTAATGAATAGTACGAAATAAGAGAAAGTCAGGGCTAAGTTGTAATAGAGCTTGATTTTTGAATTTTTTTTTTGCTGAAATAAAAAAAAAGCAAACTTCAACTAACTTGTTTTTGATCACCAACCAGAACAATTTGATCTGTTATTCGAACCAATGGAATAAGAATATTAGGTTCTGTTATTTGTGATGCTTCATCAATTAAAATAAATGGAAATTTTAAAGATGGTTCTAATATTCCAACACCTGAACAAGTCATACATAATATTTGACATTTTGATATTATTTCACGTATTTCTTTTATTTTGGGCGGTCCAAATAAAGTTTTATTTATTGTAGTATTTGGATTTGATTTTTGTTTTTCACGACGTAAAAGTTCGATTTGTGTTGGCATTGTATATTTCTATAAGAAAACAGAAAAAACAAAAACATTTCCAAATTAACTGAAATAAATGAATATTTCAAAAAAAAAGTCACATGTAAATCTGGAGCAACAGTTCTTGGTTCACCATAACGAATTAAACGATATTGTTGATATTGTAATAAACGTCGTGTTAAATTATCTACTGCTTGATGTGTTTCTGCACAAATTAAAATTGGTTGACCTTCTTGAAAAAAATTCTTTAACCATAAATGTATAATCCATGCTGATGTTTCAGTTTTTCCTGTACCAGGTGGACCTTGAATCAGTGTTAAACGATTTTCTAATGCATTTTTTATTGCTTGACGTTGACTATTATTTAATGTAGCATGATTATATTCATTATTATTAATTAAATTATTTTCTATGTTTCTTATTTGATCTTGTGCATAGTTTTTTAATTGATTTTTATCAATATTATCTGATAAATTTAAAAATGGTTTAATTAATAATAATTCTTTATTATCAATAATTTTTTCAAAAGCATCTATAGATCGATTTAATGTAACAAAATTTGGTAGACGTTCTAAACGAAATAATTTTTGTCGATTTAAATAATTATTATTTGTTAATGATAATGGCCAATATATAAATTTAATTGATAATAATGGATAAATACTTAAAATAATTCCAAATGATTGATAAAATAAACGTAATGGAAGTTTTTCATCCGTTTTATTTTGTTTATTTAAATATTCATCTAATTGTTCTTGATCAATTAATGCAATTGAATCACCAATATTAAAATGATGTGATGGAATTTTTTCATATTTATAATGTTCAAAATAAAATATTGGTTCAGAACATTTTTCTTCTTGTTCATCATTATTTTCACTATCAGTCTTAAATCAAAGAAAAATCAATTTTCTATTTTCAAATAAAGATTTTTCAATATTAGATATAAAATACGATGTATTGGTTTTTGTTAATCACATGAATATTATTTTGTTCAACATTTCTTACTTACTCCTTTAGAACTTTAATAAGGAAGCAGTTCATACGTTTTACTCTATATACTTTAGCACTCCTTTTAGATTATATTTCACTAAAGTAGCAGCCGTTGCTGCACCGCATCGCTCGAAAAAAATGTGCTTTTGCTAATGTCACTGTGGCGCAACCTCGGATATCTCTGAAATGAATTGATAGCTAAATAAATTTTGTAAAATGGAAATCTTTCAATGAAATATTGATGCAAATTTCTGAATCATAAAATAATAGTTCGACTATCTGTTTCCTGTAGACATCTGTATTCGACTTTGAAATCCAACTACGACTTCGCGAAGTCAGAATAATTGTCAAGAATATTTTCAAAGTTAATGTTGGAATTACATCATTACATAAATTATGTATTCGTACTCTAAAATAGAAGACATTATATTTATTCTTCATATGTCAAATAATGAAACGCAAATGCATTACTTCATAAGTTTAAAGAAAAAGAAAACGAAAATTAGAGAAATATCGATCTAATTTCTTCAAAAATTTAATAATTGTCTAAAGAAAATATATAGAAAAAATGTTCTTACTATTTGTTGATCATTTGGTTTTCTAATAGCTAATTTTGCTCTTAGATCAAATATAGTTTCACCATTTTTAATTAAAATTTCTTTTTTTAATTTAATTCTTCGATTAATTTCATCAAGATCATAAATAGTTGCTCGAATAATAATTGATAAAAATTGAATTATATAATCAATAGTTGATATTGAATGTTGTTCTTCATCAAATGTTTGAATATTTGATAAATATTGAAGAAATTTTTGACAAATATCTGAATTTTTAGTCATTAAACATGATTGAATTAAATGTGATAATTGTTTTATTGATAATTGAATATTTATTAATGAATGAATTTCAATAAAATAATTTAAATTAATTTCATCTGTATTATAATCATTTCCTAATATTAATGATAAATATAAATTATAAATAAAATCATTATTAATTTGATTAAATGTTTGAATTAATTGATAATTTTCTTTAATTAAACGTTGAATAATTCTACCTAGAAAAGGTATATATACTAATTGACTTTTATCTTTTAATTTTGAATTCATTTTTTTCATTAATTGAAAAATTTTATTAAAATTTTTTTCTTGATTTATTGATGTTAATAATAAATTATAAAACCATTGTTCATTAATAAATGAACGATATATTGAACCATTTAACATAGATTCAATTTCTTGATAAAAATAATTAATTAATTTTTCATTTAATTCATTAAGATTTATTTCAATTTGATTTAATTGATTAAGATAAATCCATATTTTATTTAAATATTCAATATCATGTATAGACATTAAATCATTAATTAATTCTTCTATATTTTCTTGTGAAATATTTTCAAATTTTACTATTAATTCTTTTCGTTTTTCTTCATATTCTTTTTGTTCATTTTTGTATTTTTCTTCTTCGGCTTTTTCTCTTGAAAAAGAAAAAAGTCATTCATCGATTTTTTAAATCAAAATTCTCTCAATAAATTTAGATCAACTATTCATATGATACCAAAGACCGAATCAAACCATTATTATTTGATTTGTTTTCGATCTCTGTATAATATCAATAAAATACTAACAAAAGAATTTTGTTGAAGAAATATCCTAAAATGTATTATGCTCATACTCGAAAACACGAACACGAATCAATCAAAGTTTAGAATTAATCGAACTTGAACTCGTTATTGGCTTGTTCAATCGTAACACTATTACGTTTTTGATACATTTTTTTCACTTCTCTAAAAAAGTGTGGGAAGAATGATCTTTGTGAGTTGAAGTGTTAGACTTCTATGAAGATTTATCATTTCATAACGCTGTTATACAATTTTTTATTAATCAATTTTGAAACATTTAAGCTACTCCGAAATATTTGATCTTCATAAATATTGATGTTTTCTATATACGTAATTGTTCTATGCAAGAATCAAGTTGTCCTTAGCAACGACAATCAAAAACAAGTAGGTCATTGTGTAAAGAATTAAATTCGATATTGAATGTCATTTTTCTGAAAAATTTTTTTTTTTGTTAAGAAATTCAAAATATGATTTTTGCAAGGTTCAAAAATCCGAGATTCGATAATAAAATTCACTTTTTATAAAGATCAAATATCTATCTAACTCCAAAAAAGAAGTTTTATTGTAAAATTCATACTAGAAATAACTTACTGTTCTGTAAGATATTCAATATATTGATAATTTTCAATTTGTTCATTAAAATAATTTTGTGTAAAATATTCTTCATCATAATAACTAATAATTGGATAATAACTTGAAGATATTTGTTGATCATTAGATAAAACAAATATTTCAAAATAAAAAAATTCATGTTTATTTACTTTTGGATGATTTCGATTTCGTAAAATATTTCGATCAAATCGTGTTAAATCAACACTAATAATTTTATTTTCAAAATTAATATCATACATAAAAACAATAAACGAATTTCTTGGATCAGTTTGATAAATCTGAATACGATCTTTACTTATTATTAAAAAATAATCAATATCAAGAAGAAATTTTCTTCGAATTGAATATAATTTTGATTCAAGATAAGCATTAAATAATCCTAAAATATTAATATCAATGTTTTTTTTTGTTTCGTCATTTTTAAAATGAAACATAACGATAGATTATCTTCTTCAAGAATTCGATAAATGAATCAAAATGGTAACAATATTTTTGAAAACGGGGGTCGCACACCATGATTGCATAAGAGATTCGAGTCGATTTATATGTATTTCAATTTGTTCGAACAACTTTTATTTTCACTACATCAACGTTTTTTATGTTCAATTATTATTTTACAAGATCAAAACTTGTTTTCAATTGTTCGAGTGATATTTTGATTTATTTCATTTTTTAGTTGAACTCTTAAGAGAAATTACGAATGAATTTTTCGACAAAAATAAAAATTGTTCAAACAAATTAAAACACATATAAATCGACTCGACTTATGATGATGATTTAAAATATATTATTCGTTTTACTGGAAAAATAATAATTCTTACAAAAATTGACAAAACTCAATCAAAGAATAGTTACTCTTGTCTATTCAAACAAACTTTTTTGCATGATTAGCAGATCCTTTATGTAGTGATGTATCCAGGATTTTTCGGTATGCTGGATTTCACCTTCAGAGCATGGAACCCAGATGAAACTTACAGAGATATGATATTGGGCCCAAATGATGAGTTTTTATCAAAAGATTTTTGTAATGGGTGTTTGCAAAAAAAATTAGCATTTTCCTGAGCCCCACCAAGAGTTTTCTTTTTCTATTAGTAGTATCCTGATTTGTAGAATATAATAGTAAGCTACATCGAAATTCATCGGCAGATTTCAAATTTCATTTAAAAATATACATCCGTTCACGAGCTATAATGTTTTGGAAATTTGCTGCATGCTGCTAAAATTTTAGAACAAAATTCAAAATATTTTAACTCATGAATGGATGCATATTTTTAAATGAAATTTGAAATCTGTCGATGAATTTCGATGTAGTTTACTATTAAATTCTAAAAATCAAGATACTACCAATAGAAAAAGAAAAATCTTGGTGGGACTCAGGAAAATGCTACTTTTTTTTCGCAAACTCCCATTACAAAAATCTTTTGATAAAAACTCATCATTCGGGCCCCATATCATATCTCTATAAGTTTCACGTGGGTCCCATGCTCTGAAGCTGAAATTCAGCATGTCGAAAAATCCTGGATACGCCACTACCTTTATGTGTTTTCATAGGCTTTATATGAGTGAAATTTTTAAAACAATGTTCTTTTATTTTATTATATTAAATACCTGGTTGAATTTGAAAAGTAATTTGTGATTGATTTTGATTAATCTGTTGAGATTCATGTAGAGCATCTTTATAAATATCTAATACTAAAGTAATATTATCATCAATAGAAATATTAATTAATGTTCTTTCATGTAAAAAATTTTGTTTTAAAACATAAATAATTGGTTGAAATGTTTGTTCATATTCAACAAGAGATGATATATTAAATAATTTTGGAGAAGTATAAAATAATCTCCATGATAAACACGTATCAGATAAATGATATTTATCAATAAGTTCTTTGGATAATAATTTTGATTTATTTAATATTGAATATAAATATGATTGATCAATTTTTAATGATAATTCAATATTTTGTTTTTGTTCAATTGTTAACTAAAATAACGACAAAAAAAAAACAACTTTTTTTTTTACAACGAAAGATTTTTAAATAAAAAAAACTAACTTGACTAAAATCAAATAAATAAATAAAATCTTTAAGAATTTCATCGGAATTTTCTTGTTCATTAGCCCATTTAATAATTGTTATGATTAAAGAATATTCATTTAATGATTGAACATTATTATAATTATATAAATAAGGACATCGTCGTTCATATAATATATTTAATAATGTTTCTTTTGATAAAGATTTATATTGATTTTCATTAATTAATTTTATTTCAAATTCTTCTTTAAATTTTTTTGCATTATTTAATAATTTTATCCAAACATATTCTTTGTTTTCAATGTTATTATTATTTGTATTTGATTGATGATTATCTATTAAAATAAATATAAACTTAAATATTCGAAGAATAATATGAGACATTGATGTTTATCAATTGAGTAGCAACTAATGGAATAAACAACTTAGTAATAAAATTCTTTAGTCTATATGGTGTTCAATTTCACCTGTTTTCAATTGATGATATCAATCAAAATAGAATAAATGTAGGAATTTTTCGCATTTACCTTAATAAGTTGGATCATTTTGGTAAATCTGTCTCTGTAATCGGAGATCTCACAACTTCTGTTATGACTTCAGAAGGTCATTTATTATGACTACTGTATGTTCATACTTTATAATTACTAGATACAAGAAGAGATTTTATGGGTTTTATATTCAAGAAGTTATGTTAATTTTTGCTCTCGAAGGTTTTTCAAATTAAAGCCGAAAAAATGACTATTCATTTCAAAATATAATATACTTTACCATGTTTTGAAGAACTTTTAAAAGAAATATCGTAAAAAGACCTATGACTTTCACCATCGAAGAAAGAAGACCTGGGATCATCGAAATTTATTTGATCAATTAGTTAATTTATTCCGTTCGAGAGTTATAAGATTTTTTCTGAGAGCTGTGATTTCTGTCAATAGAGCGATGATCACATGGAAAAGCAGAAAGGACATAATAACTCAACGTACTGAATTCAATGGTAACATTTATTTTTTATTTCAAACTGATCTAATACGGTTATTTTAATGTTTCCGAAGTGCTTAAGATTAACGATCTTGCGCAGATCAAAGTGGATTGATCAATTGCTAATTAATGACATTTCGATGACTAGATTTTTTCTCTTCAATGGTGAAAACGGCAGGTATCTATAATATTCCTATCACGAGTTATTCAAAAACAGTTTAGTACACATTATTGTGAAATCGATAATAGTCATCTTAGAATGGAAATATACTAATTGAACTTTTAAACTTATGATAAAATAATGAATCACGAGAGTTTCATATAACATGTGGTACATTGTTTCTGCAAAGAGAATTTCCTAGGCCGAAGAATAGTTTAGTTCAATTCTATGAATAGATAGTTCTTAATGATGAATATCATCTATAGATTTCTTTTCAAAAATGTCTCAATGCATAACACTCTGAAACACACTATGACCTATCTATGGAAGTTGTATTCTACGGATTAGATTCTAATCGTTCATGAATGTCTTTCTAATAAGAACAAATGAGTAAAACCTATTGGAAAAATCGATTGACAATGGAGACCTTTTTTTTTTTTGTTGCATATTTTTACCTTTGATATTGATTTCGACTTAGAATTCCGATATAATACATTGAAAAGAAACCTACCTTGAATAGTTTCTATTGAAGTCATTTCATTATTTAATTGTTGTTCTTCTTTTCTTGGTGGTTTTAATTCAGATGGAATTCGAATTTTTTGTCCAGTTTTTGGAGCATCAACAGCTTCAGAAAATAATTCTGCTAATCGACGACATTGTGTTGACTTAACTCCGAGAAGATTTGCCCAATAATTATAATAATTATCAATAATACCTGATTGATTATTTTTTTGTGCATTAGCAAAATGAGATATCATTTCTTCTCGTGTAATCAATTCAGATTCTTGTACTTTTGCTGTTGAATTATAATTCATTGGTTTATTTGTTTGTTTTGGAATTAAATCATTATCCCAACAAATCAAATATTTATCACCATCTAAATCACTTCCAGCCTAAACAACAAATTTTGAAAAATAATGAATCGTTCTTTTTTAAAAAACAAAATTTAAATACAATTTCATTTGGATGTGGACGTTGACCTTTTGTTGGAAAAACAATAACATCATATAAATGTTCTAATTCTTGATATGATGTTAATTTTAAAACTCTTATATCACCTAAATGATAACTTGGAGATTTTGCTACGAAACAAATTTTTGAATCAATCATAAATTGTCTTCCATTAAATGTTGGACGAAAATAAACTTCACCAGATTTTAATACACTATCTAAATAAAATATAAATAAATATGAATTAAATTAGAAATTTCATTTGATTATAATATCAGATATTAAGGATTCAAAGCGTAATGATTATGCGAGTTCATCGACAAAGTCGATATCTAATATTAAACTGAAGTCATAAGTATTAAAACCTGAGAAACTCTGAGAATCGGAAAAAAAGAAAAATCATCTTCATTGTTCTACTGATATTTTCATCTTGTTTTCATTCGTAGTGTTTGAGCAACATCTCATTCTTAAGAGCATTAACAATTGAACAAAATCGCCTCGGGTAGATTTCTAAAAAACACAAACGTACTTTTATCGCACTAGCTTTTTTCTATTGTTACCTAATTTTCAATATGATTACTAACTGAAGTACGAATTTACTATAGTGCATCTTGCAAAAAGAATTGTACTCTCTGCCAAACCAATATAAAGATTTTACGAAAAAAAATTTTGCGAGAAGTCAGCACATTATTCTGAAGGTATAAACTGATGTCTTTTGTATTAATATTTAGTAGACTTTTCTTGAAAAAGTTATAATTAGTTTAAAATTAATATGATATTTTAAATCAGCATAAGAAACTAACGAGAGAACTTCTTCAGACGTCAAATCGCTTTCTAATCAAGACCATGTTCATTTTATGAGTATTAGAAAACCCTAGAATTTTACTAAGCTTTTCAACATAATTCTATGATTCTTCTAAGATCACGGGAAAGTTTAGATTTCAAAGTTTGTACAAATTTCGTAAGGAAACATCTTAGCATAGTAGATATTAGAAAAGTAAAACTATGTCCAATGAATTAATCTTATTGCACATTTTGTTGGTAGAAAGTTTGAAGTCAAAAGTCACACGTGACTTGAGTGAAACCACATATTCTTGTGAAAAAACGCAATTAAGTTTCGGTATCTCAAAAAACGAACTTGCAAAAAGCCAAATCATGCTAGACTTTTCTATAACTCATCAAATGAACATTATCTCGGCCGAAAAGTGATACCAGCATAGAATATCATGTAAATTTGAAACAAATTGTAATTTGTCTAAGTATAACATACTAAATATCATTAAAAAACGATATAAATTTATACCTTAGAAATAATGTGCGACCGTTTCAAAAACTTTATTTCTTAAAATCTGTATAAAAGAGCTTTGTAGAGCGCAGAAATTTTTTTACAAGATGTAATATATTTAAATTGTACTCCGATTAGTAGTTCTATTAACAAATCGACTTATAATCGAAAAAAGTTAGGTTTTCGAAAATCTAATCGAGAATTTGTTGTTCCATTTTCTGTACTCATTCAAATAAGATATTGCATAAATAAAACGAATGAAAAGTGATAGAGATATCAACAGCTCAGAGTCTCTTACGTTTCAAGGCTTGTAACTCCATCAAATCAAATTGTAGGAGTATAAAACTTTTTTTTTTGTTCATAACTCCAATGTGATGTGAGAAATTGATTAATATTAAAAAAACATTATATCTTGAATTTAGGTTAGTTATTAATTTAACTTACATGGATCACAAACTCCAAAAGCTAAACGTGATTTTGTAATAGGAATTTTTAATTTTTCAACACTTTCTAAAGCTTTTTTCTGTAGAATTTGTAATTCTGATTGAATGAATTGAATATTATTTGATAATAAATAATAAATTAAATCAATTCTATCAAAATAAAGTGAATATTTTATAGCAATATTCATATCATCACACATTGAAATAATTTCATGAAAATATTCTTCTTGTTTTTTTATAAATACTTCATCTGAAATATTTAAACCAGATAATAACATAATATATTGTTTAATAAGAAATCCAAGTTTTGGTCCTGAATATCCATCATCACATACATATAAACATGTACTTATTGTACTTGTAAATTTTTTCATTGATGGACGAACTTGAATAGTTTCATCTTGATCATCATTATTTATCATTAATACACCTTAAATTATATTTTATATATTTTCATTAAAAAAAGATAATTTAAAATCATATCAATTACCTTTATAACCTTGATAACGTATTTGAAATGCACATGGACAAGTATTTTCTTCAATTTGATTATCATCGTTGAATGTTAATATTGGTTTTTTAAAATCATTTAAATAAGGAACAATTTTTTTAGCTAAATTTCGACCAATAATTCCACATCTATATTAATATACAAATTCAATTTTTATTCAAGAATAAAAAAAAAAAGGTTCGAATAAATATGAACATGGTTTGAAAAAAACAACCATTATTATCTCTATTCATTAATTTGGATTGCTAGACGATAAGGATATGAGTGTTAATTTTCTCTAGGCATGCACAAAAACCCAATAGCAGAATTTGGATAATTCAAATTTATTTCCTTGATTGAATGGACGCCCTTGGTTTGATTAGAGATTAAAAGAAAATTGAAAAATAACTCAAATCTAAATCCAAACTGATTGGGTATTAAAAATAACCCTAATTGCCTAGTATCGTGGCAACGATAGACTATTAGTTATGATGAGAACTCGCAAAATTGTGGTTCGAGTCTGAAATTTTTTCCGTTGACCGAGTCCGAGTTCGATGGGCTCTAGTCGCAATGAATATCTCTGGTAAAAAAAAAGAAACATTTGTATTCTCTAAGTATTAAAAATTCCATGTAGAATTGTTCGAATTTGAGAAAATTTTTGCTGTCAATTTCTTATGTTATTCTTCTTATCAGATCTTTGCATATTATATTCAAAAAAAAAAAAAGTCTTGAAAAAGAATTACCCATCAGTGAAAGTATAACCATTTCTTTCAATATCATCAATTTGAATAACATGATCATATTCAATATGAATTGTTGGTGTACAACTTGAAAATAATAATCCAATACGTGCTGCTCGTTTACTTAAATTTTTAATTTTATTAAAATCTCCATTATCATTAATAATTTGTTCTATTTCTTCAATTGAACCAGCATATAAATAACATGAACGACCTCGTAATTGACTATTACTATAACCAATAAAATGATATTGTTTACCATTAATTAAAATTTTATTTAATAAAATTTTTTCAATAAATGTATTATCTAATTTTTGATCAAATAATATTGAAACAAATTTATTATTTAAACAAGATGGATCATATTTTTCTACTAAACGATTTTTATCATATTTTTTATAACTTATTTTAATATTTTGTTTATCTAATATTTCAATAAAACGCATATAAGATTGATCTAAATTTGATCGAATTGCAATATTATTTTGTTTGTGAGATTGATTTTTATTTAAATGAAATGGTAAACATAATGGTATAGGTATTTCTGGTGATAGCCAATGAAAATTACCATGTATATGTTTTTCAATAAATTCAATACGTTTTATTAAATCAAGATCAGTTAAAACAAAATAAGATAAATTTGCTTTTCTATACCAATATTTTAAAGATTCTGTATATCCAATTTGATCTTGATAATTTGGTACGATTCTCATATTATCATTTTGTGCTTGTAAATCTTCTTGTGGTTGTATAATAAATATTAAACCATTTTGACATTGATTAATTAATAATTGAAATAGTTCACTTTGAAAAATTGAATATGCTTTTTGTTCATTTTCAAAATAATGATGAATATATGCTAATGCATCAAAACCCGATCGATCTGATAAATAATTATTATCTTTTTCTTTATCGAAAGATACAATTTGTTCCTGAATTATTTTTTCTTGTACATTACAAAATTTTTCAATATTATTTTGTAGAATATAATCTTGTAAATGTTTTCCTGTAATTTTTAATCGATTTAATACAGTACGTGCTACTTCTTGAATATGTTTAAATTGTATAGTTTTTAATCTTTTATCTTGACGAAATTTTCTTAAACATTCATCGACAAGTGTAGATTTTCCAACAGAAGATGCACCTGATATTATTATATGAATAGGTGACATTAAATCTAAATATAATAGAAGAAAGTAGATTATTATTAAATAACTATAATTTTATATTTATTTAGTTAGCAGAGACATGGTTGAAGTATCGAAAAAAAAAATATCATCGTTTATTTATTTTTTCTTGTTGCTGTTTATTATATCCTGCAGCCTGTGTTTCAAATATATCATCATTAGAAAAAAAAAATTTTTTGAAAAAAAAGAAACAAATAAGTATGTATTCTGAAAGCAGTTGAAGTTTTAATTTACATTTATACACTATGAAAATAAATTGAATGCAATGAAGATATTTTCATCATGAGGTTTCCATACATTTTATTTTGTCATTGTCACTTAAATTGAATTCTTATGGTTTTATTACTATAGAAATATCTTATTTGGAGAAATGTTTATTATGATCGAGCTTGAAAGTCTCTATCATTCGATATATTTGATTATATTTTAATAGATTAAAGAGTTTTTTTTTCATTTAATATACCGAAAGATAGTGCAAGACAAACTAAACAAAATGTGCCTGTATCAAATATTTTATATCATTTATTTACTGGAATTATATAGTTCATTTTGAGTGAGCGTCTCTCTGATATAGTTATTTTTGATGACTTTTTCAAAAGAAACAATTTTAGCAGAATTTCATTGTCATGATATGATTGTAAAGAAAGAAAAATGTAACATTCGAAATCACCGTCAAAAAGTACATTGAATCAAGTACATTTCAGAGAAATTCTTTTAGTATGAAAAAAAAATCATCTGTAGTCCTGCTGAGGTTAGAGTCAATGCACCTAAAGCGAACGGAGAATCTTTTTTTAATAAATGGAATAAAAATTTGAAATTAAATTCGATTAAGCTGAACCGCTAGAGAATGATAGAGTTAAGGATGACGAATCGAATGATATAAATTTCATAAAATTTAATTGAAATTTGTGAACAGAAACAGATAAATAAAATAATTTTTTTATTTTCGCTTGTTTTTTGCTAGTGCGTTCGCTTTAGAGACATTTTCTTGCTGGGCGTTCGCTTTAGGGACATGCGCATAAAGCGAACGTTTTCAAATTTTTGATTTTCTACCGCTGATTACTCAAATATTCTTACAGCTACGAAATATTTTTTTATAGGAACAGATGCAGAATTTTGTTTTCTTTCCCATGATATAAAAGTAATTATTTTATGACGAAAAATGATTGAGATATTACAGTCACAATGAAGACCTGTGAGATGTCCGTTCGTTTTAGGTGCATTGACTCTATATTTTCGCAGGAGAAAAATATTTTCAAATATTGACCATTATAGACTTAAATTATTAGTTTTTTCATTTATGTTAGACTATATAAAACTAGTAAATAGATGATATATAATATTTTAAATAGATTATTTTGTTTAGCTTTTCATTTTCCATCTTTCGAGTTCATACAAAAAAAAATCAAAAATTTAATTTTAATCATATGCTTGATTCCTTGGTTCTCTCACAAATTATCTTTTAAGACGATTATCTTTGTGATATATAAATTATTCTTTAGCATATAAAGGCCTCGTACAAAACAAAAATACACAAGATAATAAAGACTTATTCTCTATTACAACATATATTTACTTTTCTGAAAAATTGAAAAAAAAAACTCATTTTGATGACAGTAATAATTAAGTCTTTGAGAATCGGATAATGAGAGGGTTTTCGTTGTATTTGATTTATTTTTTTCTTTTTTAATATGTTTCTATAATATTGATATATTTAATTCCTTATGCCGATGTTTATTTCAAAAATATTTGTATTGTCTGTACATATATATGTTTGATAGAAGCAACATATATTTCGAAAATGCAAAAGAAAAAACGACACTACCATCAACGATGATCTTTATTACGTTGGTTATGATTGCAGTGGTTTTTTATTTGTATAGTTACGTGACCTTATTTAGCAGGCTCATGCTAAAATATATCAAAGTATTCACATTGACAGAGTTAAAACTCAATGATAAGCCATATAGAGAATCGAAACGTAATAGTTATTTATAGTTATAAACACATCTGTAGTTAGATATGACGTTTATAATATAAAAACCCAGACAATTAGAAAAGAAAAATATTTAAAAATCTTAGACTACAAGAATCTCTCAAAACGTATTCGTATTTATACATATTTGATTTTAAATGTATTCGAAAACTAATAAATTTTTTCAACTGCTATAAAATCTAAAATTGTTCTTCATTCAACTGTTGAGCAATATTTATAAAATTTAATATGACAATAAAATCTTGATTATACTTACTTTGAATAAATATTTAATAATAAAAAGTTAGAATGCAAAATCTTGCAGTTTAGTATAATATCAAATCATATATGAAGTCAATCCTTTTTAAAGAACATTTTTTCCCAGTTGAAAGACATTTAAGTATTCTTCTATGAATCATCTCTTCATTGAAAACAAAAATAGCATAGATTTTGCGTTCTGTCGATAAACACGTGTCAACAATGATATATGGGTTTGACAAGAAAGTTTTGCGTCTTTTTTTATTATCTTAATAATAATAAAAAGATGCAAGACTTCCTTACCAACCCAATATTTTTCTGTTTCTTCTTCATGCTTAGAAAAGAACACAAATAACGTTTATATATATTCATGAATTTAATAAGTCTCATTAAAAATAAAACAAAAAAAAAGAAAAAGAATGTCGAAATTAAATGAAATTATCGTTTTTGAATAAGCATATATCCAGGATCTATAGGTTGTTGTGCAATATCCCATCTTGTTTGTAATTCTTCTAATGTTTTCGTTCCATTAGCACGTTTAAATGAATAATTTAAAATTAATTTTTCAATAATTATTTCCATTTCAATTTTAGCTAACCATCTACCAACACATTCTTTAGGTCCAATACCAAATGGAATAAAAATATTTTTTTCATTATTTGTATTTGATAAATCTTTATCTTCAACATTAATTAAATTAAATTGATTTCCTAATGAAAAATATTCATTTCTTCTATGCATATCAACTAAATTAATAATTATATTTGTTCCATTTTTAATTTGAATATTATTATATATATCATTATTAATAGCACATCTCATTATAACAGGACCAACTGGTTTAAAACGCATAGATTCTTTTAAACCATTTGTAAGAGTTTGATAAGAATTTTCTTTTAATTCTTTTAATAATTTTTCTTCTAATTCATTTCGATCACAAAGTGCAAGAAGAAAATAAAACATTGTAACAGATGATGTATCTGTACCAGCAATTAACATTTCTAATATACATTGATTCATTTCTTCTTTTGTTATTTGTTGATTATCAAGAGCATTTAATAATGAATTAATAAATAAACAATTATGATTCATTTTTCGTTTAGATATTAATTCATTAACAATATCATTTAATTGTTTTATTGATTTTTGATGTTGATTTGTTTGATTTTCATCATAACATTGAGTAGGTTTTAATAAAAAATATTCCCATGCTTTAAAATATTGTACAATTGAATTAACATAATATTTTGTTTTTTCAATTGATATTGTTTCAATAGGTAAATCAAGAAATAAATGACATGTTATTGTAAATGTTATTGAACGTAAAAAATCCATTGTATCAATTATATTTGATTCAATTTCATATTTTTCAAGATATTTTAATATATAATCTGTTGCATCATTTGAAATATATTTTGCATCATCTAATAATTTATTATTTAAAGCTTTTTGAAAAAAATTTAAACGTTGATATTTCCATCGTTGAATATTTCTATTCCAAATAATTCCTTTATTTTTCATACCTAAATATTCTAAACCTAATTGATTACCAAATCTTAATGTATAATTTTTTCCATTACGTCTTAATATATAATCTGCAAAATCTGGATTTGATATTATTATTGTTGGTTGATTAAAAAGATTTATTTGAACAATATCACCATATTTTGATGTATAATATTGAGAAGCTAATGGAACTGTTAATTCAATATATTGAAATGATTCAGGAAAAAAAAGATTTAGTAAATTATTTCGAAGTTTTTTATTTGATATTTTCAATATTATATCAAAGAAATAATTTGGTAGATTTATTAAATGTTTTGGACCAGGAAATGTTTTCTTTTCAGTAAAATATCGTAATAATATATATATTGTTGTAATAAAAATAAATAGTAATATAGTTGTGTCTAACATGAATAGATATGAATGATTTAATCGAATAGTAATTAACTATGTATTGATGTTATACTAACAAAAATGTAGTTAAAGAATTCTTTTTAAAAGACTTATTTTGGGTTTTTTCCCAGATAATGTTCTTATATATTATTCATCTTGTTTGCTTTTCTTTTCGGCACGTGTATTCGAAACTTGTTAAGAACGATATTCTCAACATAGACGACTATATCTTTTAATTCACTTGATAATACTTGACATATGCAGTTTACAGATAATTTTTGAGCATGTCGAATGCATGTAGATTTTTTACATGAAGAACTTTTTGTTGGGTCGATAAGATAAAATTGTCGAAATCATTTCTCGAGATAATGGTTAAATTAAATAATAAGATAAGCATTATTTCTTTTTTGAAATAGATTGCCAGTATCTTCTTTTTCACCTTAAATATAAGCAAAAACATCCATTAGGTTCTTTAATAGATATTTATAGAAGGCTTATGAATTGCAATTGAATAATAGGGTGTGGGTGTGGGTGTGGGTGTGGGGTGTGGGTGTGTGACTGGGTGTGGGTGTGTGGCTGGGTGTGGGTGTATGACTGGGTGTGGGTGTGGATGTGGATATGGGTATGGGTGTGGGTGTGTGGCTGGGTGTGGATGTGGGTGAGTGATTGAAGAAGAATAACCCACACCCACACCATCGGTGTGGGTTATTCTTCTTCAACCACTCACCTACACCTACACCCACACCCTTAATTTTTCAAAGAAAACGGTCGTTAAAATTCGTTTCAGTTAAAAAAATATTAAATAATAAAAGCAAACGATTTTAATTTTCGGAATTCTGTTCAAGAAATGAGTTTT